AGGGGCTCTTCATTTAGGTCAGGAAAGTAGAACAGAGTATATCCATTAACTACTCAGGGAGGTACTGGGCTTCAAAGATGAAACACCTTCAGCATAGGCTGTAAGTAACAGGATGTTTTCAAACAAAAAATATGGTATGAAATATTAAAGGATCTTTGTAAAAAGCCAACATATTCTCAGCCACTCTACAATAATTAGAAGTGTTTGGAACTCCAAAGAACACAACCAAAAAAGCCAATGAACTTCGTGGAGTGCTACAGCTAGGTGTAGCGATGTATCGTAGTTGTCGAAATTATCTCCAATACTTTACAGCATCTAACACCTATTACCTATTACATCCGAGAGTTATCATCCAAGAGATTATCTAACAATCCAGTAGAATAGCCTCCTGCAAATTAGTAGGAAGTAATTCAGAAAACATCTGTTGGTTAGTTCAAGAGCTATAAAGATTTCAAGTCAGCAATCTAAGAAGGTTGCATTTACGACTTCTCCTGTAGATATGACCTGAAGATGAAACTAATCATTTCATCAATAAAGAGACTATTGGGGCCAACTCAGTTTGACTTGAGAACTAGGCTATAAGTCTAATAACTCTGAAGATTGAATAATTACTATTAGAAACAGTACAGTTCCCAAGTGACGAAATAGTAATTACTGAAGAAGGTGTGATCATTTTCAGGGTCTCCTAGTGTTCGCACTTCAGATGAATACTCAACATTGCAAGTTACAGTTAATGAGATACATAATTTGTATGAGAGATAAATGTTGTTCACGAACACTTAGATGCAGAATATAAATATTGAAGTAACTCCTGAGTTTTTAGATATCATCTAGCAACAGAGAAGAGACCTTAACAATGTAATCTTGTTTTCATGATTCAATTCTATTTTTTTACACTCTTAGCAGTCATAAACGAAACAAGTAATCTTTTGAGCCTTTCTAGACAAATCTCCATTTACAAAATAAATCTTGATTAGCCTAGACAACTTTGAGTCTATATAGATCATCTCCACCTAACACCAGTGGACTTTGTATTGCTTCTCTATCCACACTCAATTTTTGCAACCTAGTCACAGTATCCATAAACTTAAATCTTAAAGTACAATATTAAAACTCTTTTTACAATAACCTAGACATAAGTATGTTTTATATTGGCTGTGTCCTGTGCATTCTGTATTTACTGAGAAGGATTCTAACATTAGTTACCATGTCCTGTTAGGTTCTATTGCATCTGGACTTTGGTTATCATATCTACTTGCATCCTAAACTTAGTTACCATGTCCACATATGTCCTGAATCACAGTTAGCATTCTGGTATTCTCTACCTCTGAGCAAACAGAACACAAATGATACAGGTGCTTATTTTTACCAATAGTACAGTTTGTCTGACTAAGGTACCTAGCCAACAGTACCTCTACTTAGTAGCCTCTTGTCTGCCACTACTCCTATTGTACTAGTCTCTTAATACCACTATGGGAAAAGGTTTAGCTAACTGTAATAGTAATTTATGAAGTCTCATTACACTATATTCCTGTATGACAATAGTCAAATTCACCATTATTGTAACAACTTTGTATAACTCTGGCCCCACCATACTTCCTCTATACTAGAGAAAACAGAAATCAAGAAATTTATACCATATATAAACATACAAATATGGGGTATAATAAAATTGCCAATCTGATGAATCTCTCCAAATCAAATATTTCTACAATAATAAAGAAGTCTGAAAACAATAATTGTATTACACATGATACTCCCTGAGCTGGCAGACTAACTACGATGACCAATTCTAAAATGAAGATCATACTTAACATTATTAATGCTGAGCCTCATTTAGCATTCAAGAATGTCATCTAAAAGGCTAACATTAGTCTTGGAAAATATACTATCAATCAAATCTCTGATGTAACTGGCTTCAAGATTAAAATACCAATGTAAAAGCCTTTGGGAGAAAAGGACAGAAGAAGAAGAAAAAGGTATTTACTAGAAAGAGGAGGTATTAGATAAGAGCTTAGAAATGCGTGGTTTTTGTTGATAAGGTCACTATTGAATATAATCTAAATCTAGTAGGAAGAAAGGTCAGACTTAGAGTAAATATAGAGATAGAGGAAAAAAACTTAAAGCCAAGTTTTAAGTCTGGAAGAACTAATATTGAGATCTATACTGCAATCATATATGGAAGACAGATTGAGCTAATTCTTGTCAGGAGAAGGAGTGAGGAGGAATATACCATTAAATCAAACAGACTTTATCTAAATGCACCTCAGTATACTACTAAAATTCATCAACCATACTTTATTCCCTTCATAGAAGGAATAAATAGATCTCCAAGAACTATTTATATGGTAGCTGAAAATGCATCATGGCATAATAGTTTGAGAAACACAAGATTGCAAGAGGATTGTGGATACAAAAGACTGTCTTAACCTCCCAGGTTCCCAGATCTGAATCCTGTTTAGAATACTTAGTCTCTTCTCAAAAAGGCCCTTGAAAAGTGGTTCCCCAAGTTGAAAAAAAGGCCATATAGTGCAGTTGCATTATTTCAGTTCGCCAAGGAGGAGTGGGAGCATATTCTCCAAGAGACAATTTATAAATAGATTAAAAGAATGCTTAACAGAGTTAAGACTGTACTGGATGCAAATAGAAGTGATATAAAATGGTAAAATATATTTACAATTTTCTATTACATCTTCTCCACTATCTATTCTATAATTGAGTTTTTATGATATTTTCCAAATTTTCATGTTTTTATTTTATTGGAATAGTGTAATTGCGCTAAGGGGTATGAAAACTTATTGGAAACGAGTATACTATAAATTCATAATATATCCTAATATACTGGTATTTAAAAAGTTTCTGTACCCCTTCATAACAATGAAAATGTGCACTCACCACCTTTTTGATATTTATTTCTTAGTTTTGAAAAGAATTCTAAAAAAATAAGCATCAAGCTTAGATAGAATTTACTTTTTGCAAAAATGATTCTAGTAAAAAAGATAATAATAATAAATATAAAACATATTCTGTGAACTAGTATTTTATAAAATATACTTTTTTTCTGTAATTTTGTATATAAAAATAGAGGTTACAGTTAAAAACTCAATAGATCTATCATATACAAATAGATTCTGAAATTAAATTATATCATAATCTATATATCTGAGTAGCAATTAAATATACAAACATATTATTTGCACAAACACCTAGTATGATATATGAAAATAAAAATAACTTAAGAAAAAGGAAATAATATTCCAATTGTTGTAGAAATAAATAAGAAAATATTTAATATAACTAATATAACTCATGAAAGTATATTTTAAGATTATATTATATTTAAATTTATTACATTCTTCAAGCTTAATAGTAATATCTAGCCATAGTAAATTCTAATCCAAACATATTACCTGATTAACTATATTCTATACTTCAGGGGGAATATTTTAAAAATTAGTATTTATAATAACTGAATTAAGAAAACCACATATTATATTAGACAATAATTGTTGTATTTTTATATACTTCATTGAATTTACTAGACAGAGTGTAATTGTATAAAACTTGTAAGCCTATTTTACCATAGTAACTGTGTGATATAGTAGTTAAAGCATATATACTAGCTTGAGAAGAACTACTGAACTATTAATATCACAAACATGGCTTGGCATGAAAAAGGTTTTCATGTGACACATGGTTATGAGTTACAGGTATGTTATTGTTTCACATATATGACTCATTCGAGTCATATGATTTGTTATGTGTAGAATTTGTGATGCTTTCGCACATGGCTCAAATATGAGTCATAGGATGTGTGTCTGGCAAGTGTGCCTTGCAAGTGTGCCTTGCGAGTATGCCTTGCGCATATGATTTATGTTTCGCACATGACCTCGTTATGAGGTCATGGGTTTCACGCATATGACTCAGTCGAGTCATATGATTTGTTTATTGCGTTATAATTGGTTTATGAGTTTTTGCACATGACCTCGCTACAAGGTCATGGATTTTGAGTACGTGACTACTTTGGTCACATGACTAATTTGTTATGATTTGGTTTCGCACATGTGACCACTTTGGGTCACATGACTACGGGCGGGAAGAATACTATATAAGGAAGCTGATATGGCCGAGAAGAATCGGTTCTTCATGCTTTGTTCGAAGTACTTTTCCTACTTATTACTTTAACGAATATAAAACACCGTTACGATCTTTATCTTTATTGCAACATTATCATTACGCTGAGAAAAGTTCCTCACGAAGAAGAGTTAGAGAAAGCTTACAATAGGCATTCCCGATAGAAGACAAAGGTCTTGTACTATCGGTAACGTAGGCAGAGGCCTAGTGCTATTGTAAGACTAAGGAAAGAAACAGAAGAGGAAGAGAAGTATCGTTCCCCGTCGCCAAGAACTAACTGTCCAAGGAGGGATTATTACAATTAAGAATAAAATTTGCATATAATTAATTTAATACAAAATTATTTTATAGTGACAATAAATATTAAAGGTTTGAGTAAAATACTGTATTTTACATACCCAATCTATCTTAATTCTATAAAATAAACAGTACTAATATTAGTCTATATTTATAAAACTCTTATAAATTAACTTATTTAGTATCTATTACACTCCTATGTTATCAATTTTTATAACTTGAAAATTTTTTATAAAATATTGAAAAGCACAGGTTCTAGGATATTTAATATTTTATATTCTTTGTTCTTGATTTTCTCTAGACTGCTATTGTTACTATGGAGTTATAATATTCTAATAAAATATTCTTTTTATTTCCTTACATTTACATACTTCTTAATTGTATTTTTCTATCGACTTTTGTGTTGACAGAGTATGGAACTTGATGGATTGCACCAGGTTGCCAAGGAGTATGGAAACTTATTAGACATGAGTGTACTGTACCATAGAAGACTTGTGTAACCAGACGCTATATAACCTTACACCCACCGCAACACAATCCCCACCACCAAAAAAAAAAAAAGCCAATACCAAAGCCGCGACCAAAACCAGAATACCAAGCTCGCTCTCTCACTCACTCACTCAATGTCCGAGCAATCCACGACACCGCCACCCCCCACCCCCACAAAAGGCGACCCAGAATGGTGGAGGAAGAAATTCAGTGGACTCCCGGGCCTAGGCCTAAGCGATGAAAAACGCGCCGCCCACCGTGCTGAAGCCGAGTGTCGGAAGTGCGAGAAGAACCGAGACTACCTCATGAACTACAGTTCCGTCCCCTCCCCTCCCCCAAACCCCAGCCCAGCCCCACTAATCTTGCATAACATAATAATAGGCCCCATAATCCGCTTCATGCTACAGAACATCTCAAAGCTAAACGGCAAAATGGACGATTCAAACATAAGGTGCATGCCCTGTGAGAACTTCCAGTCCGGCGGCTTCTCACCCGAGTATGGGGTCCTACTCTGCCAGAACCGGTTGCGCGATAGGGGGCATATGGAGGACACGCTCGCGCACGAACTCGTCCATGTGTACGACCACTTGCGGTTTAGGGTTGATTGGGAGGAGTTGAAACATCATGCTTGCTCTGAGGTATATATATCCCGGGAATGCGAATTTCGGATCGTCGGATGGTCTGGTCTGGAGGCTGATCCTTTTTTTCTCCGCTGGCCCCGTGCAGATCAGGGCGTCAAGTTTGAGTGGGGAATGTCGGTGGGCGAGGGAGGCATTTACGAGAGGAGTTTTCGACTTCACAAAACAGCACCAGGTTTGCGTCAAGCGACGGGCTATTTTGTCTGTGCAGAATAACCCAAAGTGCAACGGTGAAGCAGAGGCGACCAAGATCGTCAACCAGGTCTTTGACTCTTGCTTTGCTGATACCCGACCCTTTTCCGAGATCTACCGCTAACTCTCTTCAACTCGTCAACCCCCCAATTTGTATCATATACCAGGAGCTCGCCATCATGGGAGAGAGGGAGCAAGTGTGGCTCTCTCTTATGATGCTCACGCATTTGTATAATAACCTCGCCCTTCTTGCCTTTTCGCCTTGTACAACATAGAATTATCATTGACCTTTAACCCCAGAAGGATACATGAACCCGTACACGCCAAAGCACAAAATAACAACATAAGGTAGGAGACGCAGTACAGATAAAAACGATCCCCAATAAAAAATGAATCCCCCCAGGCCCCCGATCCCCTTCGATGCTTTCCCATCTTGCGACTAAAAAATGTCAAGATTTGGGGGACGCAGTAAGTAGAATAATTCGTGACTCGGGCAATCAAACACCCTCCCCATATTGATGTCACGGCTTTTCAGTGCTACCGCCTGAGCGCTTTGTGATATTCGCTCCAGGTTTTGGCGCACAGTGCTTCAAGATCCACGGATGCTTTGCGACCTCATCCAACGGGATCCGCTGATCAGGCTTTACAACAAGTAGCTAAGGTAATAAATAATATTAGCATGCTAGACAGGGCCTCCAGACGTGATTGAGCAAACCTTTTTAATAAGATCGGCCGCTTCTAGGCTGACGAAATCGGGGATTTTCATATCAGCCCTAACGATCCTCCGTTGTGTCTCCACGGGTGAATCCTCAAACGGCGCTGCCCCAACTAAGAATTCGTACGTTAAAACACCGAGAGACCACAAGTCTACTTTCTCATTGTGGTAATTGCTGCCGTTCAGCATCTCTGGTGGGAGATAATCAAGAGTTCCACACATAGTAGTACGTCTACAGTATTCGAACTCAGTAATAGACCAAGACTGGCATCGAGAGAGCGATCATACCTTGAATTAGGAGCGTGCACACTCCAGCCGAAATCGGATATCTTGATCTCACCGTGTATTCCGACAAGGATGTTTTCGGGCTTGATATCACGATGGATAACATGCTTTTTATGGAGATACTGAAGAGCAGCAGCCATCTGAGCAATGTACTAAATACGCCGACGTGGTTAGCTGGGGGCATAAGGCAGGGTTTTATAACAATAACATACCTCAGCTGCACGCCTTTCAGAGAACCTTCCAACCTTCCTCAACATCTTATAGAGTTCCCCCTGTCCGGCAAACTCAAGGATTAAGAAAACCCTCTTCGAGTCATGGAAATGCCCGAACAATCTCAGGATATTGGGATGTCTCAGGTTTGACTGAATTTCAATCTCCCTTCGGAGCTGCTTCTCAACCTTCCCCTGTTGAAGCTCGCTCTTATGCAAAACTTTCAGGGCACAGACAAACCCATTCTTGCGTTCTTTGGCGAGATATACACGGCCAAATTTTCCTTTCCCCAGGGGGCGCCCTATTTCAAACATCCCCAGGTGGAATTCACGTGATGAGGGCATAGACCGTGGAATGGTCAGAGCATCCGAGCTATCCGACTTCCTTTGCTGTTCCGATGAAGCATCCTGAGCTTTGCGAGGAGGAGGAGAAGGTGGTGGCATCTCTGAAGGCCTCCATTGGTTATTGGCATGGTTCTGATTGTGCACAGCAATTTTCAGTAGAGGATGCCTGGGAGGGCCAGTTTGCTGACTTTGCTTATCTTGTAGCAAGCTACCAGCCGTGCTCGAGGATGCCTTATTAGTCTAGAACCCAAGTTAGTAAAAATTTCTCCTCTTAAGGCCAGAGAGCACCATATACTTTTGATTTGTGAGGCCCAGAGGCCGGATTGGCATTCTCCTCGTTCACAGATATCCCGGCCAGGCGGGCCTCAATCTCCCTTAAAGACATCTCTGAAGCTTCTATAAAAGACTAGAGGATATGAGGTTGGAAAGTGCAATGAGAAGTCGATAATTGATGGAGAGACGGAGATTGAGGGAGGAGGAAGAGGAGGACTGAAGTCCCCGAACCTATAAGGGTCATCAACAAATAAGCTGCAAGGGTACCTATCGTTACCACGACAACCAGGATGACTAACATTGGCGACGCCGGACAACACTTTGTACCACACAACACGCAATGAGCCTGAGGTGTGGATACCGGTATTATTTTTAACCCAACCCTGGGTCAAGAGGAGGATTGGTGGTGGATAGGCGGATTCACCTCCTACGGTAGTTCGCAGATACAATTATCATTGGATTGCTCGAACACCTTTGGGTTTCAGGTGATTCATATCCACGATGATGTCCTTCGCCCACCTCGGTTGTCGTCCTTACCCCGACCGCCGACCACCGTCCTGGAGAATAGGGCGGGCAAATCAGACTGCTGCCGAAGACTGCCTTTTTAGCGCAAGGAATGTTGTTGATTCAAAGTTCATCGAAACGACCACCCTAGAGAATCATCATGGGTCACTCGTATACCCATCAAAATCAATGCAGGTATTACATTCTTTGTTTCATCAGATATACTGGCTGTATTTGCCGATGTATGATGGGGCAGCCCAAGCGCAAGTGCGATCATAACCTCCGGTAAAATTGTTCGGGGATGGCCCCTCGAGCACGACAAATGGCGGTCTGATGTGCTGTATTCGTGCACCCTCAACGCACTGATACTCTGAAGTTTACGGATGCAATTTGGTAGCGATTTGTTTCCCACTTAACGTCCATTGTCATAAGCCACTAGGGAGCGGGAGCCCATCTATGGCTTTGTCAGGAAACTTGGTTGGCAGCCAAATCAGAAGGGAGGCTTGTGTAAGTACTAGGACACCACATGGAAAATGCAAGTAATATGGAATTAAACGAACAGTTCGTTACCGTACTCGCTCGGCAGCCTACTCCAGCATACGACAACGGCTTTAGCACAGCAGGGTCAGTTGTCAAATCTCAGCCGTAGAAGACTGATCGTGCGAGTGTAACCCCAATTCCGTATCGCCAGCGTGAGGTGGTAGAAGTGAAGAGCAGTGAGTGGGTGTATGCAGGCGCTCAGATTTTGCTCCCCAGTTCCCTCTCCAGTTCCCCTTCTCAGGCAAGCTATTTTTGACGACTACTCGAGTAAGGAGGGCGGCGGGGAGTGGGTTTCATCGCTGAGAAATCCAAAAAACTAGCCACACCTGACCTGATTCGGTCTAGGGAACTCGCTAGTAGAATGAGGCTCGGAAAAGGTGAATATTTTGACAGTCTCATGTTTTGTCATAACTTTTTACTATTTAGTTCTACCAGTATTACTTAAGTCCGCCGGAAACCTTATTACTCGTTTACTAACAATTGATGGCGCTTGAATATCAGGTTCTCTATCTCGTGAATACTAGGAAGGGGTGACTGACTGTCTGTAGGTTTGAAAGTTGTCGGGGGGGTTGGCCTGTGGTAGCAGTTCTGTGGAATAAGGATGACGATGAATAAAGAAAGAGCAAGATGGCGGTGGGGGGGAAGGGGGAGCACTCTCGGTGGTGATGAATGGTGGATCCTTCCAATGGAAAAGGGCAGCCGGACAAACAGTCCCCCCAATTTTGGCTGGCCTGTCTGCATGCAGGCAGTAGGGATTGTCTCGAAAAGGACGTACTCTGGAAGGTAACCACAACAAGAATACGGCGCAATACGGTGCCTTCACTTCCATTGAGAGAAGACATGGCGAGGGTAGAAAGTGGGATACATGATTTGAAGCTTCACAGCATAGATTGATTGATATTGTATTGAATCATGTGAGAATTGTTTCCAAAAATATAGGCCCCAATTTTTTGTCGCGAGCAAAAGGGTCGCCGTGTTGGGTGTGGAGAGCCTGTCAAAGTCTCCCTTCTGAAGGGGAGGAACTTCTTGGTTTTCCAATTCCTCGAGGGGGAGAGTCTTGGCAGCTTGGCGGAAGTGTTCTGGGGGAGAACCTTCGGCGCACGCCCTGTCCGCCGCCTCCTTAGCTAAGTTGCGCTGCTGCTCCTCCCACACAGTTAGCAGCAGCAGCAGCAGTGGTGGTGGCAGTCCTCCTCGAAAAAAAAAAAGATGTCCTCTCCGTCCGTCCTTCCGCGTTTTCTCACCCCCCCCCTCGTCCTCTCACCCCCCCTCCTCGCTTCTCCTCCTCCTCCTCCTTTCCGCACCACCACCATAACGTCTACCGCTGTCACCACCGCTCTCATTGTCATTACCATCACCGCTACCTCCTCCTCCTCCTCCCCCTCCCCCATCATCACGCCCGCCCTTCCCCTCCTCTCATTCCTCTCTCCACCACCTCTCCACCATTTGGCCCGACGACATACTCCCGCTCTTGCAGTCCAGCATCCTCTTCTCCACCCTCCTCCTCTTCCTCCCGCGTTTATATCCGGGTGATTGTCATCGCCGACGATAGGAACCGTCCCGTTAAGTTGAGGCTCCCGCATCGCCCGTCGACCCCCTGTTCCGGCAGGTGAACTCTGTGTCCGTGCTTCGCTGTGTCGTCGTGAAATAATATCTTCGGTCAACAGCTGCCAGTGCTTTCCGGGCGCCTTCTTGCAGTCTTTCCTTCTCTTCCACTCATCTCTTCCATTTCCCCTAAATATCTTTCCTTCCTTGGCAATATTCATTCCAATCGCTTGGTCTTCTAGAATTCTTTCCTGTCTGTGAGGGATATTTTAGGCCCTCTCTCTTTTAACATCGCCATAGGGTTTCAATCCCTTTCTGCCTGTCTACCAGCGAGGATGGTAAGAACTACTTTTGAGCCCCTAATCGTTATATTTATGATCGGATTATGTTATTCCTTGCCCTCTCTTCCCATACAGTTCGGGGTTGATATAAAGCGCAGGTATTATATAAGAGGAAGCCCGTACAGCTCGTCGCTAGCCCTGATATCGACGATGAATCTCAAGAGGTGTGTCTCAATTTATCCGTTGAAGGAGGCGAGATTTGGATATAGAGTTTGTGGACTTACCTCTTCAATATATTCTAGGTTTGGCAAATTTCGCAGACTGGGGAGGTCTTTGTCGACTATCAGAGTTATTTGGATAGGTATTTAATCGTCATTTGCCCCAGACCCCTTCTGAATGACTATACTAAGGCTTGGTTATTCCTAAGGCTCGATTTTTACAAAACGGTAAGGCATTTAGTAGTGTCTGATGTCACATGTTTGTTCGAAAGTGTTTGGACCAATTTGCAAGAGCGTGGCTGACTTAGTTAATAAAGAAGCAATTCAGTTGCGAGATTACAGGTCACATGAATCTCAGCTTCTTTGAGGCATTGATAAGTGAAGTAAGCACCTCACCTGGAGATGGTAAAGGCCGTGTCAGAGGGATCTTACGGAAAGCGCAGACCAATAGTTCGCAAGATGTCGATCAGACATTCCCCGAGGCCCTTAAAGACCCTGTTCTCAGGAAAGTACAATTCTCGACGGTGTCGAGAATTGATACGTTAGGTAAGATGGTGATTCTATTGATAAATATTATATACAATTTACTAACATGTTATATAAAGTTGACCAATTGCATGACGTATGTTACCCCACAATGGGTTTTATCGCCTCTTCGTTACTAACTTTCTTTCCTTTCCTTTTTTTTTTTTTTGGCAGTCATTCAAGAGCGACTTTTACCCTGGCGAACATGTTACAGCGATACTACCCAATGGTGATCGGGTGGAGGCATTGGTACGCGAAAAGACAATGTTTCCTGAGCTGCGATATGCTAGTGGTGATATTCAGCGAAAAGGATTCTCCCGTTACACCGTCAAACTTATCAATAGAAATGATGAGGAGGCACAAGTCGACAATGAGCATCTCGTACGGGACAAGAAGTCCTTCACGAAGGCTATGTTACGCTCCTTTATTAAGAATACTGTGTCGAGAGAGCCATGGAATGGGGCGCCTTGGCTGGTGAAGGAGGAGTTCGCAAACAGATATAAGATCCCGCAAACAGTTCCTCATCACTTGCAGAGGGCTTCTACTGCGGCGGAGAGAAAGGCAAAGGCTTTGGCACAAAAGAGGGAGCAGGGATTAGCTGTTGCTTCCGTGGCCAACAGTAGCTCTGCTCCTTCAACCCCAGTTGAAATCAAACCGGCACCGAAGTCCCATAAGAGCAAGAGCCACCAAGCCGCCATGAAAGTTACCAAACTAATGCAACTTGATCGTGAACCAGGAGCCACATCGAATAGTGCCCGAGCCTCCCCTTGGAGCAGCCCGACTGGAACCCCGGAGGCCGGAATGGCAAAAGTTAATCTCAAGGCCGTGGCCAAGGAAGATACACCCCCGCCTCTGCCACCTCCGCCTAAGCCCATCAAATATCCGATTGAGGATTTGGATCTCCCATATCAGGGAGGCCCTCGCAGGCCCAAGCTCCACTTTCTCTCGCAACTTCCCATATCTGTAAAAACCGAGCCTCCTGCTGTTGATACAATTCGGAGAGCTTCTAGGTCATTGACAAGGTCATCTTTGGTTTCCTCGGCTTCACCCGTGCCCATGAACAACGGCATCGACGAGGAACAAGTTAGTTTCTTTCTCAGCACCTGGGTTTTTCTTAATATCTACTGTGAGCCCTTGCTCTTGGATTCCTTCACTTTTGACGATTACCTTCAGGCGTTGCAATTCAGTAGCGATGAGATTGACTGCGACTTATTTGTGGAGATTCATTGTGCACTTCTCAAAGCAATTGTGAACGAGCAAGGGGTTATCCAAGCACAGCTGCCTGAACCTGAGGAGGACGATGAAGAAGAGGAGGAGAGTGATGAGGAGGAGGACGGGAGTTCGACTGGTTCGGTCGAAGATACTGTCAGGGTGAATGGTGACAAGATGGAAATTGAGGATGATGAGAAATCAAGAGCGAAGTCTGTGGATAGAGAGAGGTCCCATCGGGCCGACGAACTATTTGAAGACAGTGATGGTTGGATTCAGCGTCTGAAAGTGAGGGATTTCAAGAATGGAGGATGGCAGGCTATCGTCGTTGGCGTGCTCTACAGGCTTTCGGTCGACGATCGCTATTCTAAGGATTGTGAGGAAATTCTGAGACATTTGACACCCGTGGGTGAGGAACCGGCACTTGAGAGCGTCCGACAGCGATACCTAACGTTGGATATCAACTTGAGAGCTATGGTTTTGCATTTGCTCTCCAGGCTGACGCACGAGACCAGATCGGTTAGGGATTACATGGAGGAATGTTCTGAAGAGATGACAAAGCATAGGAAGGATAAGATCGAAGTCCAGAGAGCCAGGCGAGACTTGTATGAAGATGTTTGGCCATTTTCTCTCTACCCACTGAGCTAACCACTTGGTTTAGGATTTCTGAACTGAAAATGCTTGATGACGAGAGGAAGATACTTCTTCCCGAGAACACACCCAGGTCACCTTCACCGGTTGCAGCATCTCGGCAGACATCTACTGACGCGGATGGTGATTCTAAGATGACTGGAGCAGATGAGGAAGACTTGGATGGTGATGATGACGAAGATGGCGATGATACCGACCGTGGTAGATCCTTGAGGCGGGGAGGCGAGCGTGCGAACGAGCGCAAGCGAAAACGCGAAGCCGAAAAAGAGAAGGCGGACGCAGCAGCCAAGCTCCCCAAAACCTCGAAACAGTTCCAAAAAGTACTGAAAACGATTGAATCGGTAAAAGCAAAAATTGCTAAGCAGGAGGAAAAAATTGCATCATTTGACGAAGACCTCAGACAAGCCGATTGTGCAAGGTTTAGGATGATGGGGAGGGATAGGTTCTGGAACAGGTACTGGTGGTTTGAGAGAAATGGGATGCCGTTCGGTGGTTTGCCCCAGTCATCAACTGCATACGCCGGATATGCGAATGCAATGATATGGGTGCAGGGGCCTGACCCAAGCGAGAGAGAGGGTTTCCTAGTTGAGGAGGCAGGGACGAAGTGGGCATCTGAGGAGGGGAGTGATATGAGGATGAAAATGAATGGCTCCAATGACGGGAGAATGACTGTGCTTGAACGCCAAGCATTGGAGGAAAGCTCAACCACACTCACATCGCCAACCCAATACGGATATATCGATACGGTCGAAGAGTTTGAGCAAATGTTGTCCTGGCTCGATATCAAGGGTGTCAGAGAGAAAAAACTGAAGCAACAGTTCGAGGAGTATAGGAAGCATATCGAAGAGGGTATGGTTAATCGTAAAAAGTACCTCGCAGGAGAAAGTGAAGGCGCCCCCTCAATGGAAGCCGGCTCCACGCGAATGAATACTCGCGGCAAGACCCATATCGACCCTGAAATTTGGAGGTGTCTTAACTGGACAAATGAAACCATGATTGACGAACACGGCCATACACATTTCGAGCAACCTCAGCCAAGAAAAGCCAGCAAGAAGAAAGGAAGTGCTCAAGAAAAAGGAGTGCCTCTAAACAGGCAAGGAAAGCCGGTCAGTAGGCAGGGGGATCGTTATAGTTTCTGAGAGTTGAGCGCATGGGGCATTTCCTGCATTAATTGCGATTCTTTTTGTTTAACATTTGGCTCTTACAAGAATTGTTGGGCTACTGAATTCGATGCGAGTTGTGGTGCTAAATTTTTTCTTTTTTCTCCTGTCGGCGCAAGGGTTTTTTTTTTCTCCCTCTTTTTTCCCTCTTTTTTTTTTTTCCTTGCTAAGTTCTTTTTTATATCTCTTCTGTGGGTGTTTGCATTGCGGTTTTATTCCCCCTAGTGCTGGAATTTATTATATCTTATACCTTTTGTTGTCCTTCCTTCATTTTTCTCCTCTTTTCTTCCTGTTATTTTCTTTCTCTCATCAATGTCGTCTTTTAATTGTTGACGGTAAATGAGACTGTAAGGTGAGCCAAAACCTAAGCGGTGATTCCCACTCTTTTCTTTCTCTTTACTCTTTTTCTTGTTGACATTTACATTCAATTACCGTTCCTTGTAACCTTTTTTTCTTTATCATATCATATCATATCGTCTTATATAGAGTAGGTTGGATTGGAACCTTTTGGCGGAGGATACCGTATGACGTTGTTTGGAGTTTTCACTAGATACATTATTTTGCTATCGCTACCAAAAAAAATTGAATTTAAAGGAATGCCAAAATACCTTTTATATCTGTTCCTTCCTATCCCACATGCAAGAAGATAATGTCGTAAGCGCATGATAACTTGTGTGCTTCGTTCTAGCGTGAAGCAGAAGCTTCCATACCCTGGTGACCCGCCGATCGCTGAATTTTCCCTGGTGATGGGTTTTCTGCTGTGGATGAATATGGATGCAGCTTCAAGTATCATAACAGCACACCCACCGTCTTACCCTATGGCATCACCCATAATAATATGATACTTGCATTAATATCATAATATCATCCATCGGTGTTGATGTGCGAAAATTGGCCCTTCCCACCAACGCAACGGGTTCACTTCCATGTTTATGGGCTTGTAGGGTAATTTAGTCTTGAGAAATGCCTTTCGAGAGGGTTGAAGTCTTTACAAGCTGTCAAAGTCAACATGTTAACTCTCTCAGATGGCTGAATGGTTCCAATTTCAAGCCATCTGAAAAAAAAAATCTATTTATTGGACTTTTGGGAATGGGGTTGAGTGTTTAGTTATTTCAATTGTGTTTTGTAATTCTTAGGGTATCGTACTACATCATACTTTACAAGAGCTGTATTTTCCAGGAATGCAAATCATCCTTATGGACCTGTAGTGTGAAAAACTTCTAACTCAACCTACCCCATTAAGTAATCTGGTAATCTGGCTTTGATAATTATTTTTCAGATTGGAGTGAGTGGCACCTGGGGATGTTGATAGCGAGCTGTACTATACCTCGTACAAGTTGTAGTGGTTCAGTTTACATTCTTTAGATGTCCACGAGGGCCAAAGAACAAGAGAAGAAGGAGGAAAGAGAGATGGACTAAGGTGACCCTATTCCAAGAGTCACTCTCATTGAGTTACAATGGAAATTTTGCCGCAATTTCCAAATTTAAAGTTTAGTTTAGATGCTCTTCCACTACGGATATCATACCTCCATTGCTCAAAAGTTATTCCGAGATACCGGCAGTGTCATTGTTTACGAAATTCAGTTTTTCCGGAATACCCTGTGGTATGATAGCCCACATTATGATTTAGTTTGAAGACGTATAGTAGTAATTACTGAAAACCGGGTTAAAGTCAATTTTCACTTTGGCTACAACTTGATACACCGGCGCATGTCCCGATTTCCGGGCCCACACAGGTGGTGGTGGGTTCCGGTGTTCTACCATTTTACCGGTACTTGTATCATACTATTGTACCCTTCCCCCGCACCCGATGATAATTTACTCGTAATCCGACCCAGCAACAACGTAAAGATCGAAATGAAATATCATAACAAGCCTCTCTACCCGGGTTAGTATCCCCGGCAGGGTTTTTGACAACCCCGTCGCACCGGTATTATGATACCGATTCATACAAGTAAAATGGAAAAAATTAGATTAAATTAGAAATAACCTACTCGAGTACCTCTCTCTATCTCCCTCCCCCCCTCCCTTTCTCCTGAGGGGGAGGAGGGGGAGGGGTGTTTGCTGCGAGGGGCGCTCTTTCCCTACTCTTACATCTTTCCGTCGGGGGGGGTCTCATATCGGTATCGTACTTGTGTCTGGCAATCAGCATTGTATCCGGAGATACAGAGATGTCGCATAACCACCCACGGTGGAAGGAAAGTCCTCTACTGTACTGTACATATACTCCATGCCGCATGTATGTGGCTACGGTACCGCAAAATAGGCGACAAGTCATTCCTCCCGTGTTTTTCTTGTCTTTTGGTTTGCTTTTTTACGCACTAACTAATAGGGTAACGGGTTAGGTTATCCGCTTTGGTCGAGACTACTAATACGGGGGTGCTGGTCAAGTATTTAAGTCTTGAAATCCTCCTCCTCCCATCCACCTTCCCATCCTTCCATTCCCAAAACCAACAGTCCAAAATCTCCAAACTCGGGAATCGACACCGGACTTGAAAAAGGGGGACAACAAGAAGAAAAAAACTCACAATGGCGGACCAATCCGACCTCCCTAACCTCCAATCCCACCTCCGCTCCTCCCTCCGCCGATACCCCGACTTCCCAAAGCCGGGCATCATGTTCGAGGACATCCTCCCAATATTCGCCTCCCCCGTCCTCCATGAAACGCTGTTGCAGGCGTTGGAACTGCATATCCAGTCTGCCCACCCTCCCACGCTGACACCCCCGTACGTAGGCGTAGACGTCGTCGTGGGCCTCGAGGCGCGGGGATTCCTCTTCGGTCCGTCGCTGGCGCTCAAGTTGGGCGCTGCGTTTGTACCCGTGCGCAAGGCCGGGAAGCTGCCGGGTGAGTGTGTGCGCGTGGCGTACGAGAAGGAGTACGGTACAGATTGGTTCGAGATGCAGGTGGGCTCCATTAAGCCGGGGCAGAGGGTGCTGGTTGTCGACGATATTATTGCCACCGGGGGGAGCGCGAAGGCTACTGGGGAGTTGGTGGGGTTGTTGGGTGGGGTGCTCGTGGAGTACGTTTTTATTCTCGAGTTGGATTTTTTGGAGGGGAGGAAGAAGTTGGGGGCTCCGGTGTATGCCTTGTTGGGGGTTCAGGAGGAGGCGGTGGGGAAGGAGGAAGAGGAAGCAGAGGAGGGGGGTGTGGAGAACAAGTAACTATCGATGGTGCACGGTTAACGGGCGGGATGGGGTAATTAAGGTAATGCTTTCGGGTATGGGATTAGACTGCTCTTGGGGTCACGGTAGAATGGTATCATTGTTCAAAAAAGTATTTGATTCTAGTCATAAGTGTTCGCAAAAATAAAGCATTCACCATTTGTCCATTCTGTGTGTCCCACATGTTCACTGGAAACGCCCCCCAAGCTCTATCCATACACCTAGACAACTTGTGTTCCATAGCCTCTAATACCCTCGGCAAACTTCCAGCTCTGGTTCTGAAGTTCAATATCCTTCTCCCATTCGATATTGACCTTCGCTTCACACTCTGCAGCACCCTCCACATCCTTTCCGGTGATTATAGCCAAGGAATACTTGCTCAAGCTTCGAGCATCACGGTAGAAGAGCACCTTCATGCACTCCTCAATAGTGTCAACCGCCTGTTCACGAGTGATGTTCTCAACGGCGGCTTCGTCTGGGCAAACACGGCGGAGTAGGGGGACAGCGAGATGCGCGCCAAATCCGGTGGCTAGAGCGGGGGCGGAGAAAGTAGTTCCTAGAAGATCCGCCGAAGCCAAGAATCTACACCGGACATTAACCGGGTTACTTCCTTTATGTAGTGGCTGATAAACTCACGGCTTGCCATCATCCCACCCCGCAACCAGTAAGGTATTCCACAGGGGATCGAACTTGCAACGACGCTGGTACAACACCTTGCTAAGGTACCTGTAAATATGCGAGGCACGCAGATGGTGTCCGTCGTTCTGGTACTCCTCCTTAATGATTAAGGAATCTAACAACTTCTCGTGCAAATACTGCATATCCGAGATGTCACCCCCGGCACCAACAACAGTGTGAGTCCCAACCTGCTTCAGACGCTCAACATTGGTGAAGCGGGCGAGGGAACCGTAGGAAGCTGTAGCCGCCATTGTTACCATCGCTGGTGGTAAGAAAAATAAAAACAAGCAGATAGGGGAGATGGGGGAGAATACCAAGATTATCAGCAGCAATAACAACCCCGCCATTGAACTTGAGCGCAACAACGCTGGTGCCAGTAACAATCGGAGACTGGGTATGCTGGTTCGGCATAGAAGATTGCAAATACGAGGCGTCGTATGTACCATAAACGTCGTTTCTGGGCTAGTCGTTGATAAAAAAGAAAGGAGAAAACTGGTCAGTTTTTTTTAAAAAAATGTTGGGGGTTTGATTGATTGATGAAGCGTACTCTACCCCACGCTTCTGGGAGGTGGTTCATAGTGTGGAAACTGCTGCGGTAGACAGTAGGTGGGATAAAGCTTTGGGTATGGTTGCAGGTTGATGGATTGGAGATGAGCGGTGGTTGTGGAAAGCACCCGGGGATGGATCGGTGGAGGTGTTCGAGTGGGTGGAGAGAGATAGTCTAGATCTGAACTGGGTGGGATGTTTGTGTGAGATTGGTCGGGGTTTTGGTGCCAACTACAACCGAAAATGCTAAGACTTTGAGGTAAGACAGAGAGTTTGCTGGTGCCTCTGTTCCATAATTTAGTAACTTAGCTGGTTCGGTTCAATCCAGTTTTATGTTGGTGTGGTGGCAATGGCAAGTCCTATATACAACTAATTTTTTTATCAACTTTGTCTCATTTCTCTAGAGCCTCCCTATTGGCAAAAGTTCCCCATAATTGGACAGTAGAGGAGCTACTGGGTTTCTTATCAGCTGCAAATTTATTGAGTTATTATCTATAAACTTGAGTTGTTAACCACTATGAATTATTTTGAATTATGGTTACCATGGGGGTATGTGGACCTTTCAGACACGGCTGTACCCATAAGCTGCCCCTGGCTATCGATGGGTCCAGGGTCGTGAAGTTGTTGGTACTGTACTGGTAACTTAATCCGAGCAAAAATTTTCTCTCCTCTTGTTGCGTCAGCCATGTTCAGGGAATCGCACTAACCTACTCAATCACCCTTGTCCACCGCTACATTACATACATATTATATACCTTAACCGCCCTAGAGCCTTTGCTTTAGCCGTCATGAATCTTTCTTCAGAATTTGATCGTTTTGGGGGATACTCAACGAGCATGAAGGGAAAACGTGCTTTGACGATTGTTATCAAGCTTGGTTTGTCTTCCCTCACCCATCCGGCCCTTTCCTCTTTCTTCTCCAGGAGATTGACAAACTGAAAAAAACAAACCCCGTGTTGTTATAGGAACTTCATCTATCTGTGACGAAAGGACTCACGACCCGTTGCTGTCGAACCTATCACTGCTGGTTGAAACAGCAGTTAGGCTTAGGAGAGATGGACATCGGGTTATCCTAGTCTCCTCGGGGGCTATTGGGATCGGGCTTAGGAGGTTAGATATTGAGAAAAGGCCTAAACATCTTTCTGCTGCGCAGGTTTGTTCCGATTCTTCTCTTGGGAAGCTCAGGGCTGATTGGTATATGAAAGGCTATTGCGGCGGTCGGCCAATGCAGATTGATTGCGCTTTGGGACGCGCTGTTTACCCAGCTTCAGCAGCCGGTTGCACAGGTTCTATTGACGAGGAATGATATTGCTGATGTTTGTTCTCTCTTGCAAGCCTTGTTGGGATTGCGGCTGATGCGGTTGCTCTGGGATGGTACAGAGGACTCAATACCTCAATGCTTCGAACACCTTTGCCGAGTTGCTGAGCATGGGTATCATTCCCATTGTCAATGAGAACGATACTCTGGCTGTCAATGTATGTTCGAACTGCTCATGCGGCTACCTGCCGAGTGGGAAGGTGATTAACGGTTTGGGGTTTAGGAAATCAAATTCGGCGATAACGATACGTTGTCGGCAATTACTGCTGGCATGGTAAATGCGGATTATCTATTCCTTATGACGGACGTGGATTGTTTGTACACGGATAATCCAAGGACCCACCCGAATGCGCAGCCTATTGAGGTTGTAGAGGACATTTCGACTCTTAAAGTTGACGGTATATATATAGATATTAGCCCATGACTACAACGCTGACAACTTACAGTATCCAGTACTGGCTCGACACTAGGCACCGGCGGCATGGCCACTAAACTCACAGCGGCCCGCCTAGCTACCTCCGCCGGCGTAACCACAATAATCACCCGGTCCTCAATCCCCAGCAACATCTTCCACATAGTCGCGTACATCCAATCCCTCAAAGAAGCCGATCCCAACACACAACCGCAAACCCCCAGTATAACCAAAACTTCGCCAACCCTCACCCCTATCATCAGCACCGACGACCCAATAGCCTTATCCCCGTTGCCCTCCACCCCAACCCGCCTCTCCACGTCCACGTCAACGCTGGCCCGCTCCCCAACCCCCCAACCAGCCATACCGCCGTCGCACCCTCTTCACACCCGCTTCCTGGCTAAACCTCGCGCTCTCCGCGACCGCTATTTCTGGATCCTCCACGGGCTTGCCCCACACGGGACTGTATACATCGACGAGGGCGCGTATGGTGCTCTTACTCGCAGGGACAAAGCCGGCTTGCTCCCGGTCGGGGTAGTGGATGTTGCAGGGACGTTCGCGCAGCAGGAGGCTGTTAATTTGGCTGTTGTTCAGAGGATCGTCGGCGGTGGGTACGTCATTAAGGGGCCGGAGGTGGGAAAGGCGTTGGTGAATTACTCTTCCACTGAGATTGCCAGAATTATGGGGCAGCAGAGTTCTAAGATCCAGGAACTATTGGGGTATGCTGGTATGTATTTCCATCTTCTTTCTTCTCCTTTTATTCTTCCACGTTGGTAGTTGAATGTAGGGCTAATTAATAATGGAGCAGATTCGGAGTATATCGCGTATAGGGATAACACCGCCTTCTTTGCTAGTAGAGCGGAGGAGCAGCGGCCACAACAATAGTAGTGGCAATGGTGGGGTTGTGACATCTGCGGCGTGTTGCATATATGCCACAGTTGGGGAGATGAGTTCGCACAAAAAGGGCGGGGATAGATTGGCGTTTTTCTTATAGAGTTATTCCCTTTGCCAGGCGTTTTGTGTACTTTTCGTGGTGTCTGAGACTCTAAAGGGATTAGGAAATTTAGCGATGTTGCGAGGTATGATATATGGTGGATCATCGGATGTTTTACGTAGGGTAAGTGAGAGTATCTGGCTTGCCGGATGTCAACGATGAAATCATAGAATATCACTCGGCATAACGGGCCCGAAATCTAAACTGAACAGCCGAGATCACTCGACCACCTACAAGGTTATATAGCCTATCAGGATATCATATGATACGCCCCGCGCCGCCACTACCGTTACGAGTACATATGCGACCCTGCACTAAATCTACAGTAATGGCCCACCCAAAAACATACTCCTACGTAAGGAAACACACATTAGCTCTAAACTTACCATCAAAGCAGCAACCATAGGAAGGGGGGAGAGAACGGAAGGAGGAACAAGAGGATAGTACTTCTTAATCTCCTTAACCCAGGCCTTATTCGTATCATTACCCACAAACAGCACAGCCTTCCCCCTCTTCCCCATCCTGCCCACCCGTCCAAGCCTATGTATAAAGTCGATAGTGGTGTATGGGACATCGTAAAGAAGCACATTCCTGACGGTCTTGGTGTCAACGCCTCTACTCGCGATGTCAGTGGTCACGAGGACCTTCATCCTCTCGAGTACGCGGGCCGTCGGATCCGCGCTGACTTTCGGGCCAGTGAAGTACTCCACGACGGCAGTATTTCTGCGGTCGTCTGTGTCGCGGTTGAGGTTTGCGGCGTCGAAGCCCTTGTCGCGAAGAAAGGAGACGATCTCGGTGGTGGACTCACGACGGTTCACGAAGACGACAACCTTCTTGACGAAGCCTTCCTCACTGGGCTCCTTGGCAATATGCGAGAGGGAGTTGGCGCAGGCGAGGAGTTTGTTGCCGCGGTAGGGGTTCTGGTCTACGTCCACTACTGACAGGACGACTCTTCGGGGCACCGTGTGGATTTTGGGACTCACGAGGCGTTGCATGTTCGGGTAGAACTTGCGTAGTCGTGTGTCCAGGGACTTTGGAATCGTGGCTGAGCAGAGTATTAGCTTCTTAAGCGCTTGCGCTCGCTCTATTATTGATGTGGTGAGTTGGACGAATTCGCGGTCGAAGAGAGAGTCTGCTTCGTCTGCTACTAGGTGCGTGCATTTCGAGAGGATTTTCGGGCTGTCTTCAGCGAGGCTGGAAAGGAGGAATGGGGTTGACACCAGGACGTCTAAGGGGCCGGAGAAGAGGCGGTTGCGGATCACAGTGGCAGTAAAGTTGCTAGATATCATTGTTGTGCGGAACTTGGCGATGTGGGACATCGACTTTACTACACTTGCTACTTGAGTGACGAGCTCGGAGGTTGGAACTAAGATTATTGCTCGAGGTTTTCCGTGGTTCCCCTTGTCCTCTTTTGGCTCCATGATGGGTATTTCTAGGTCGAATAGATCTCTGACGGGAGCCTTCGGGGTAGGGACTCTCTCCACACATGTTTCTGCTCCATCATTTTTTCGGGGAGCTTCCTCGCTCCGCTTGAGGAAATCAAGAATGGGAGCAACGTATGAAAGTGTTTTTCCGGAACCTGTCTCGGCTGCAATAAGAAAGACTTCATAAGGATTCTTGTCATCAATTGCATGCTTATGCCGCCTCGTGGTCTGGCCCGTCAGCACTGGAATGGCTAACTTCTGAACCGGAGAGGGTTCAACGGTATCTAACCCCTTCAAAGCTCCTTTTATAATACTTTCTTTTATAGACGGCAGTAGATCAAAGTTGTCAAATGAAAACCACTTGTCAACCTCAGTCTTGACCTCGTCTCTTTGCGCTCTTGAAACGACACCAAGGGATTGTGCCATTCTCATATGTTTAGGGTCAAGTTTTTCATTTTTTTGGAACCGTCCCTCAACCTGATCGCGCACCTTGGACCAAGGCCGTCTATTCCTCCACACCGGTTGGGGGATATTAACTTTTGTTCGGTTCATTCCATGTGTTGGCTCTGGTTTCCGCTTGCTCTCGACGGGCCTCTCGGCAACCCGGTCAGAAAGAGTAAAGCGGGAAGGACGCCTTCTTAATGAAGCGCTAGCCACACATCGTGAAAATGTCGGGGGAGAGAATTTAGGAGCGGAAAGAGCACCGAGTCCATGGAGGCACAGCAGACATGCAGGTCGATTTCGGATCATTGTTGATGTTGTTGCTATTGTTGGTAACTTTGGTAATACTCGGGAGTGAGTGGAGCAATTTGTGGTACAGTACCATGGACCAAGGAGGACAGGAAGAGGGAGTATTAGGAGGGGGAGGGGCAAAAGAAAAATCACAACAAGAAACAAAAAGGATGCGCTGTCCCGCAATGGCCAGTGCTGCAGCCAAGTGAGGTGAGGGCAGGAAAATAGAGGTGGGAAGCAGTGGGACTACTGTGCGTCTGAAATAAAGGGTTTTGCACGGATAGGGTGGTATGGGTGAACCAGGAGGGATGAATTCTCCGATGCGAGCGAATGACGAAAGGAAGTGCTTGACGAGGGCTGACCGCAGGGCTGTTCCGGGTGAGATGCAAAGGATAGACAGCGAAAGTATCATAAAACAGCGCGGTAATGGATTCAACTGAGTGAAGCCCGAAGCAAAAGGCAGCTGGAGACCCGTGGGAGCCCAGAAGTGGGACAGCCGAGCTAGCAGGAGAGCAGGTTAGTAAAGAAAAAGAAAAAATCGAGTGAGAAATGAAGAGCCCCATACGGAAAATTGCAGGGATGAGGTTAATCGAAACAGGCTCTGGGGCCAATCAATTCACGGGATTTGATTCTTGGCAGGATCAAGTCTGGGAGAGCCTGGCTGCGTGCATGAGGAGGAAAGCGACAGGGACCTTTCCGTGGTTGTCACGGCAACCAGTGCAATGTTTGTTGTCACATCGAAACCCACATCGAAACCTCCAACCGGTTGTCACAACCACAACTACTTATCTGGTACGGTACCAACCTGCACCCTCTCGCACGCCGCCCATCTCCATCCCCCTCCTCTTATTCACCCATCTCTCTTGTTCATCCACTCATACTCCCACCTTCTCTCCTACATTGCATGCCACTCACAGCAGAGGTAGTAGTAGTAAGGTGAGCGGAGGAAGAATAAAAATAAAAATAAAAATAATCAGCGAAAGGACCAAGAAAGCCCTTATTCGCTCGACCCTGGGATAACCTCCTCCTGTTCTTTCCTTTCTACCCTTCTCTTCGCCCTTAGCTACTCACTTCTGCTAAACAAACCACCACTACTCTTTTCACTTTCTTCTCCTTCTAAACAAAAAACAACAGGAATCGATTCCATTTCGATTGTGTTTCGGCATAGATCACTTGCCATCTAGCTCGCCCCAAGCTGTCTACAGCATACCTGCCCTCGGCTGTAACTCGATCGTCCCATTACATGGCTTCAGGCCCAAGCGTGATTTCTCCTCCCTTTCTTGTTTGTTTTCCCTCGGGATCCCAATGCTCATACTCGAATCAAGGTTACTCCACTACGGATACACAAGGGCTCTATCTCTTCCGGCTCAGATACTTCGGATAAGGAGTCAAGTTTCCCGCTCAGCCGTCCGTTAGCAGATATTAGTCTGATGGAGCGAAGGAGAAATAGCACCTCGTCAGGAGGGCGCAAGGTATAGTTTAGTTGATTGGTGGAAATTTTGTGCGCCGGGCTAATTCGCTTTGCTGTACCAGTCAAATGACGATATTCCAACATCCTCACCTTTCCCCGCAAGCCTGTTTAGTCCAGCGAAAGCAAGCTCACCCCGTGCCTTCTGGGAAGGAAAACATGCCCAGGATAATGCACGCTCTTCTCCTAATGTTGGCCGTCGGTCATCCCTAGAGCGGTTGAAGCGAGCCTCTCGTGTTCAGAATAACACCAAGCTCTTTAACCAGCCTAACGGCCCAAACCTTCCGAATTCAGGGCGACCGTTGAGTTACAGTCCGGGTTTATCATCTCCGTATACTAGCCCACAGTTTGGCCGGGGATCTAAAATTCCGTTGCCGTCTCCGAGGAAGTCAGATGCTTCATCCATTCGTCCTGAAACACCTCCCGGAACAATGGCCAAACTAACGTCCATCCTCACGAGTCCCAGCAGTAGGATGCCAAAACCATCTCTGGTATCAGCCTACAAGACGAATGCTTATGTTAGTGATTTTGCAGGGTATTCGGATGGTGAAGATAATGTCAATCGCAGCCCAAGTCGGCGACCGAAGTCTGTTACTTTCGATAAAGAACCCCCAGAAGTTCTTCAGTATGAAATGGTTACGCCGGATCCATCAGTTGACGGTTCCTCACCGATGCATTATGATTCAGACGAAGACGAAGATGATTATGAAGATGAACTGGAGAACACTCCTGTTATCGAGCCTGATGAGTGGGCAAGGATGACTCCGGAGGCTATAATGAATTCACATCTTGATGATCCTTTCCGCTCTACCCCATCGCCAACCGCACGGCCGCTCCCCCCAATTCCGGGAGCTTTTATCTCACGAGAGGAAAGTAACAGTCCCTCCTCGGGAAGACCGCTTCCTAGCCTACCCGTTACTAAAGCAGACCTTCAGAATATCCAGAAGATGCCTCTTGAGGAGAGGATGAGATTAATGTTGGCTTATGAAGAACATGAAGGGGTCGACGAAAATCCTCGAAGATCCTCAGTAGAGACAGGGGAAATACATGAGGAGCGTGATGAGCTGGGGGAGATGCTGGAGAGCATGGGAATTAATGAGAAGGAGAATACTGGGCCGCTTGATGGACGGGATGAGAGCATGAGCCCGGTTCAACTCATAGAGGATGCTGCATCAGACAGTGAAGGGCCTTCCCCTAATACTAATCGAGATGCCGGCCATGAGAGCGGTTCCTCAAGTCAATATGAATCCGCGTCGGAATACGAGCCTCCACCACCACGCCTTTCTCGAGAGTCCATTCGACGACAAGTGGAGGCTCGGAGAAAGAACTCGTTTGAACCTGGGCTTACCCCTCCTCATGATCTACATGATGAACAAGCCGAACTTAATGATTATGACCAAGAGGCTATCTCGCAGGTGGACGATGGAGCTCAAATCAAGCGGGAAGTATCTGATGATGAGGGAATAGACATGTACAAAGTGCCGGAGATGGACAAGGTTCCAGAACGCCCTGCGTCTCGATTTGCCACGAGATCACCAGATCATGATACTACGACTGATTCGGAAGCTTCTCATTGTGAAAACGATAATGATGATGAATCCAGGTACAGTGAATACGAGGAAAATGAGCTAGATATCCCGAGCAGAGAAGAATCTACTCCTACACCCCCCAATCCCCAGTTATTCTTTTCACCCCATCCGATCGCCAAAGAACCTGGGTTCGAAGAACCGCGGAAGCATAACCAGGGTGAGGCTAGAATGAGCCTTCCTGACCTCTCATCTATGCTTGACCGTGATGGTTTAGGACTTAGTCAGTACATGACTCCTCCCCCACCTCCTCCTCCCGAAACTTCCGAAACTCCCGAGCAAGAGCTTGCTCCCTCAAGTAGTATCGCTCGTGATCTTCTCGCCGAACGAGCGGAAAGCCCCGCGGAAGAAGAGGATGACAATACTTATGAAGACGAGGATACTGGATCGGTTATTAGGCATAAGATCTACCACTCCGATGAGGATGAAGAGGAAGCGGATGATGAGGATGACCGTAGCGATTACACAATTGAAACGGACCATGAGGAGCACGAGGGAGGAGAGGCGGAGGAGGGGAGAGAGGAATGGGAGGAAGACAGATCTCCCTCACCAGTGGCAGAGTCTATCGCAACAATCAGAGCGCCAGGTGGAAAGTTGAAGACGAGAGCAAGTGCAACGCCCGCAGATATGGCACAGATGGCTGCTGCGCGCAGGCAAGTCAGTGGTGATATGAGTGGAGGCTGCCCCCCTGTTCCCCGGATACCTGACGGTTACCGTAGTGGGGGTGATTCATTGTCTGGTAGCGAGGATGAGGGAGATGACGCTGGAGTTCTCTCACATGGCGAGGAGGTCGAGAGAAAAGCTTCAGGTAGGAAGAAGTCAATAGGACTTCCCGCCTTGGGAGAGTTCGAGTTTGACCTCAAGTTGGATGACCTGTCAGAGGAATTTGACCGAGTCATCGAGGCGCAGAAGGTAGAATTTTCGAAACGCTTCCCTAAATCGGAATATTCTAACAGTGTCCAGCGCGGATATCTAATGCGTCAAAATACCCGGGTCATCCATGCCTCAAGCAGGGATCCTGAGGATGACGTAGCTGGCCCCTCGAGACCAGGTCACTCACGGACCCAATCTTGGTCAGTTGAGCCATGGCGAGCGTCTACCAGGAGACGCAGCACGCGTGATTCGCTCGGCGGGAGCGTCCGAAAGAGGCCTTCAAATGTCGGCGCCATGCCATCGGGGGGTAAGGATGGAAAGCTCCTTCCCATGGTGAACGAAAATGATGTCGAGGGCCGAGCAAGTCTCAATTTGCAGCCAGATGACGGCACTGAGAGAGGTAGATTGTTTGTTAAAGTGATTGGAGTCAAAGACCTAGGTTTGCCGCTTCCGCAAGGTGGGAAATTTCCTCCTTCGTTGAATGGATCTTTTTACTAACCACTGCCAGGCCAACCAACCTACTTTTGCTTAACTTTGGACAATGGGCTTCATTGTGTCACCACATCATGGCTGGAGTTAGCCAAGAATGCGCCGATTGGACAAGAATTTGAACTGTTGGTGCCCGAGTGATCATCTGTGAATAATCATCCACTAACTTTACCAGTGTTGTTCTCAACGATTTGGAGTTCCAGTTGACACTTCAAACCAAGCTTGAGCAACCACCCCCACCACCTCCTAGGGCTGTCGTAAAGGCACTTCCCTCCAAGCCAAAGCAATCCACGTTCAGCAGGGTCTTTACCTCTCCTAAGAAGCGGAAGCAGCTTGAGTTACAGCAACAGCAACAGCAACAGCAGCAGCAGAAGCAAGAGCCACCTGCGCCAGCGACGGCATGGGACTTGTTGCATGGGCTCGTCGCTCGCGATGGGTCATTTGCTCGATCTTACGTTTGTCTCAAGGACTTTGAGAGCAAAGCATTTGGTCGTCCATTCACCACCGATATCAACTGTTTTAATGAATGGGCTGTGGATACGGCAAGTGTAAAGAGCAAAAAAGGCCTTCATGGATCCCTCCAGCCTGCTCGAAAGGCCCCCTACAAGATCGGGAAATTGGAAGTACAGCTTATGTTTGTCCCAAAGCCTAAGGGAGCAACCGATGTAAGTAGCAGTGCCCATTTGCTTCGCCGAGTGATACAATCCTAACTAATAGAAAGAAGGAGCTCCCAAAGAGCATGAACGCTGCCATCCGCGAGCTTCGGGAAGCCGAAAGCACACTGGCCAAGACTTGGGAAGGAAACCTTTCGCAACAAGGTGGCGATTGTCCAGTGAGTTTCCATATCGTCCCAGTCTTTATGGACCTGAATACTTACCAGTTATATAGTTCTGGCGGCGGAGATACTTTAAGTTGGTGGGTCCAAGATTGACAGCGTACCACGAGGCCACTCGCCAGCCACGAGCAACAATCAATCTCAGCAAGGCTTCAAAGATTATATATGATCGCAAGGTTCTTGTCGACCCTGAGGTTAAAGGCCCAGGCAAGTCCCGGAGAAAGTCTGGGTTTTCGGAAGACGAGGAAGGCTACATGTTTGTCGAGGAAGGATTCCGGATACGATTCGGAAACGGCGAAGTGATCGACTTCTACGCCGATTCTGCCGCAGACAAACAGGGCTGGATCAAGATCCTCGATGAGACAATTGGCCGGATCCCCGAAAAGCGTGGATGGTGTGACACTGTGCTCTCAAAGGAAGCTAGAGAGAGGGCGGAGAGGGAAAGAGCCCAGGCAACTTCAGCAAAGGTAAAAGCTGCTCAACAACAGATGCGCCAGAATGCACAGATGAACCAGAACCAGAGCCAGAACCAACATGGGGCTCAGCAGCCGCCAAGGTCCACTCGCCGCCCTCCTCCAGCCAACACTCATCGTTGACGCTGCTTGCCGTTATGGCATGAGGTATTCTTCATGTCTACATCCTCGGTATCTGTTGGTCGCTGGGAGACTAGACAATTCCTTTCTCTATTTATTACATTCGTGTGCATGCTTATCTTCTGCTCTATTCTAGGGTTGTATGGTGTATTCTCGAGAATTTCTTCTTGCATAGTTTCTTGTTTCTATCTAGGCATTTCTTTTATGGGCAGTAATATCTTTAATTGCTTGGAGTGATAGGTGCATTTCATTTACAGCAGTTTCAGTGTTTCATATCTTCCATATCTATATTCCTTTTGGAGCGGGTTGAAAGCATATGCGAGTGTATGGAGAGTCTGTGTGTGGTAGGGTGGATATATTCTGCTGGTTATGAGTATCTTGTTTGTTGATTCTGTATACCCTACAGTGGAGTTGCAGCTCCAATAAATGAACTGGCTACTCAATTATCTGCAGCATAGGCAGTGTTTTCTCCTGGACCTGAAGCGATGTGATTGTGGTTGTACAGGTGGCATTAGGATGGTTCCGTACAGAGTCGCATGTTATATGAGGCGGCATATACAAGTTCATGTCTCAAATGTAGTTAACCCAACTATCCATCCATACCAGCTCAAGCACTTTTCACCTTCCTCTTCCTCTTTCCATGCATTGTGGCATAAGTCTTTGCGACATTGACATTAACCGCTCTGTACCCTCCCGCCATCCCCTGCTCCTGCAACCACGGCACCCGAACAGGCGGCACATACCTCTCAACCACCTCCATCAGCCCCGCAACAACCTCCTCTGGTGCGCCCCCCAGTAGTCCAACAAACCCCGCGCGCGCAACACCCAGAGCATCCGCCAACCTAGCCTCCGACCCCCTTGGCAACTGCACCAACCTCACAATCTCTCCACCCTCCCCCTCCCCGGAAGCCAGCGCGCAAAGGAGGGGAATATGCGAGTGCAGCAAGGAAGCCTGCGGGTCCACCCGCGTGACGAATACTACCCTCATCGCTGGTTTTCTATTCTCCTTCCCCACTTGTGTTGCAGGTGGCGCGAAGGCCACCGGCCTCCGTTCCCCCGCTAGCTCTTCCAAGCACGCGGTAGTGGAGTTTAAGCCTATGGTTAGGTACCTGCTAATTTCCGGCACTGGCGGAGGTGGTAGGGTTGTTGTTGTAGTTGTAGTTGAGGAGGAGGGTGAGGTGCGTTTGCTCCTCCTGTTTCGTTTTGATGTAGACGGCGGGGGTAGCAGGAGGCGCTTGCGCGCCCCGATTGGGGAGAGGATATTAGTGAGGTGTTCTAGGATTGTGGTTTGGGCGGTGAGGGCGATTGCTGGCCTGTAGTGGTGCGTTAGTGAGTCGCGGAGGTGTGTAGGTAAGTGGATGGGGGATGGAATAACCATTGTATTGTTGGGTAGGGAGTGTTTAGGGTGAAGAGGAGTTTTGGTTTTTTGTTTGTGGTTGTGTTTGGTTGAGGGGTGGGGATGGGTTTGGTAGCCATTGTGTGTACTCGAGTAGCAGTGATGGTGTTTAAGGGTTTCTTTTCTTTGTTTTCCCTCTTGCCTCGGTGTGAGGGCGGGGGAAGTTTTATGGGGTGCTGCCTTGCTAGTGGGATCCCTGCAGGAACATATGAAGTATCTTACCGTGTTCATACGGGAGAGGGTGATTGTCCCAGGTACAGTAGCAGTGGGTTGAAGGTATGTTGTGGCAGTGGCGGTGGGGAATACCGGTGTGAGGTCGAGTGTGTGTTGAGGTATCATATATTCCTGTATCTGGTAGGGTGTTGACCTCATGGTAACCTTTCTATGTAAGATAGGCGGCTTGGCATACAAATAGTTACTATTTAAGCTGCATTACAAGTCCCTGGCATGAACGGAGTGAACATTAGGGGGTCCCGGGTCTGCCGAAGCCCTTTGCCAAGGACACCAAAGTAGTTAGCATAAAAATAATCAAAAGGGTGGGGATTTAATGAAAAAGGTATATTCTTCGCATCACTGGAGTAAATAAACTTTAAAATAGATAATAAATATTAAGAATTATTAAAAATAATGATAAATACAAAATATTAAAAATTAAAAATTATTTAAAATAATGATAAATACAAAGGATTAAAAATTAAAAATTATTTGTAGTTCACCAGCGAGTGTGGCCTCCAGAAGCAGTAATAATAACCTGTATTCTTTGCAGCATTGAATTGACAAAGGTTAAAAGATGCTCTTCTGAAATTCTATCCCATTCTTCCCGTATTGCCTCCCCATTTCCTCCAACCCATGTGGCCTTGGATGCCGCTGGTTTAGTTTATCCTTAAGGATAAACCAAACATTCTCAATTGGGTTGAGATCGGGAGAAGCAGGGTGCCAGTTGAGCTTTGGGATACCATACTGCTTCCTGATCCGCCGAGTATAATGTGCTGGGTGAGTAGAAGCCCTGTCCTCCATGAGCCAGAGAGGACGAGGAGCCTGCTAACTCTCTCGCTTTCAAAAAGGCTGGAGTACCAGGACTAAGACGTTATCTACATAATGTCTTGATGTTATGGTGCCCCATCCAGTCCTTATCCCAGAGAATGGGATTGTATTTCTTGGCCCCCAAGATCCCACCCCATACCATAATGGTATTGGATTTGGGGAACTTTAGGAGGAGATAATCATCATGATACTCCTCCCTCGGGTGCCGGGTCACCCAAACCCAACTTGTGTAGCCTGATAGCCACACATAACACTGGTCAGTCCAAATGACCTGGCACCAATCCTCCTCTGTCCAATCCTGGGGGGCTGTTGTGAAGGCTCAGTGTAGCCTTTTCTTTCGCTTGTCGAGGAATGGCTTTTTTTGGGCAACCCTCTGGGAATAGTCTTCCATCTTGAAGGCTTTCTGGAGGGTTCTCTTGGAGGCTTGGATGCCACAAGCTGCAGCGACCTCAACGAATCGCATTCGGTGATGGGTGGCACTCATGGTAGCTGTGGCTACTAGTCGAGAACATGTGGGAGTGTCGAGTGAAAACTTCCTTCCCTTGGGCTTCTTCAGCGTGGCGGGTAACTAACATATATTGTAGACAGTACCGAGACTAAGTTTCTGATCTTCAGCAATCTGTCTATAGGTCCAGCCTGCCAAATTTCGCAAGGTTTGGACTGCGCATCATTGTTTATAGAATGTCTATTCATGCTTTGGGTCTTCTATTTTTCTAGATAGTATTCATGTGAGTTCTGTTTTTAATTTTCTTTAATTGGGAATAATTAACTTACTGACAGTGTTTTCCTTTTTCTTTCTCATTTGGTGGTTGGTAAAAGTTTGCAATATTTCACAGGATTGATACTTCTTGCTAACATACGTACCAGGAACTATTCTCTCTTTTTAATCAAATTTCCCCCTTTTTGATGACTTTTATATTAACTACCATTACTATTTACAGGTGTGATCCGGTATCCTTGGCAAAGAGCTTTGGCACATCTGGGATCCCCTAATGTTCACTCCGTTCATGCCAGGGACTTGTACCTTTTCCTCTTAATACAGAGAGGGTGAGCGACAGGTATAGCCAACATCACCCCTCCATCTTAATCAAGCGGCGCTATCAACTTTTGTACCTTCTGTTGCACTTTAGTTATGATACATGACAAATCCACTAGTCATTTTACACAGAGCTATCATCAATCATATTAGAGAGCCATATGAGAACAAATATTAGAGGTTACTAGCATAATTGTATAACAGGGCTTCCTATGGGAAGATAGATACCAAGGTTGCGACTGGACCAAAATGAAATCTTCTGGGAATAAATATAATAAAATCTCAACATCTCAGCAATAGAGTCTGAAGAAACAAAACAGTAAAACTTACTGTCATTAAGCTACAGCTTTACTCCATTAAGTCCTGATCTCGAGAGGTAGTTAATTGCCAGAGTAGAGGAGAACTCGCATATACTTAAGTAGATTTCATATACTGCCAGTTGCTTTCTATCATTACTATGCATTTGTGAACATCCAACTTCTTTGCACTGTCTAGCCAACTACTATGGCTCAGACCAAAGATCCTCTATAGCAAACTAGACTACTCTATAGTTTGCTAACATCTACCCGACAGAAGTGTTTTAGCTGCTGCATCTACAATGCAACTACAGGAGTAACAACTCTTCTCATAGTAGGTATGTTAGTGATAAGCTGTAAAGCCCGAGCGTATACAAGACCAACTATGGAACACTCTACATATATATACTTAGTCTTCTACAAGCATCGGCAGCTCCTGAACATCTATCATATTCTACTCTATTCCATATCATTTCTGATGATGGCCATGTAGCTTTCCTGATGGACCCCTTGAGAGGTTGACTACCAATAGGCTCTATCCACAGTCAACCCTCCTAGAAGTAGATCTCATTGTGACCTCAGACTAAGGTCTTAGAGTTCTTAATAATTCTCTAATACTATTACACTTTTGGGACAATGGACTTCAGTTACCTTGCCCCTAGGCTCTGGTAATATCACATGCTACTTCTAATTTCAGCATAGTATTACTCCATCAGCTCTAGTTGGTTTTGCATAAAACTACCTGGAGACCATTTTCCAAGTTCCCCTCTACCGTCTCATGTATCCTGCAGGCAGCCTCCGGTCGACTGGAGGGCGTGAGCATATATGGTATTACAGAAATATCTCTACTAATAGACTTTTACTAGACTTATAACAATTTTCCAAGATATAGCCCATGACACTAGGGACTTATAATGGGGCTCAAGGGGGATGCTAGCCACTACACTTCCAAGTTACAGCATGTTCGGAGCTCCACTGGTTGTGTGGGAGTGGTCCGTAAAATCTTAGACTCGATATCCTATTTAACTTCGTGTGATAAACATTCTAGTAACTTCCTCTGAAGCCCTCTGTAACATGTCAATTTCAAGGTAGGGTAACTTGGCTCTATAGTAGGGTAACCCATAGCCCAAGGCTTGGTAACTCTGGTTTGAAGGTTGTATAACCATTGCTCCTTACTAGTATCTATGTACTTCTTATTATAGCATAGCATGTCCAACTGAGGTACCTAACTAATAGTACCTCTACACTACTCAGTAGACTCTGGTCTACCACCATTCCTACCATGGTAGTCTCTTGACTCTGGTATGGATATAGGTTTAGTGAACTGTAATAGTACTCTGTAGTGTCTCATTACATCCAATTACTTTTCCAAGTCCTGAGATTACACTAGAAGTAGTCCACATATTGTATTAATGAATGGTGAATATATTAATTTGCTTTTACTTCGAAATATGGGGGTTGGTCTACTGGTTGCTTGATATTTTATGCTAAAGCTTCTGCAAAGATATTCACTATTTTGAGTTGTTCAGGAGTTAATCTTCCACTAAATCTGGATGGTTCTCCTCTATGTCTTCCTCTATTTCTATTTCCCGTATTATCATTAACTCCATCACCTGGATCTCTTCCTGTTGCTGCAGAATTCAGGAGATCTCCTACTGTACCGTTTTCCTTAGTATATGAAGGTCCTTCTCTCAGGTCCACTGCTCCTGGAGGTTTTATTTCCTCAGGACTGGATTCTAGTATTGTCCTCTTACTACTTTAAGGGGTTGCAGCCAGACTCTTCACTTTTTTTCCAATACTATTTCCATTATATCAAAGAGACAGATTTTATTATTCTGAATGGTTTGGGTAAAGTTAAGATAACTTTCTGCTGTCCTTTCTTCTCTGATTTCCAGATTCGATATCCAGGTTTGGAAAAGTTAATTGTGCTTGGTCTGTTGCCATGGGAATTCCTGAAATGTCAGTTTTAGCGTGAAGTCTCTTTCAATAGCATCTTGTTGCAGTCTAGTAATAACCTCTTCATGATGCTCATGTCGAGTGTCTTGTTTTGCTAACCTAGCAGCTCCTACCGTAGCCCTTCTAGTTTGGATCTCATAAATTACTGCCCCTACTATAATATGCAGACATAGTATAACTATGATATCATTATCATGTAGCTCTTGTCCTTCCAACAACTGTTGTTGTATACTCATCATTGGCCTATACAGCAGCAGGTAAGATTCGGAATGTGATATTCGTCAAATTAAGATTTCCTTTAACATCTTCTTGTAATTGTTTTAGTACAATTCTGATCCTACTAGTAAGTCTTGTCCAGTCTGCTGTTTGGGTATTCAGACATGATGTAGTACTTCACAGGGTTGGAGTAGCTGCTCGAGAGGTATCAGAAACACTAGAAGCTATTCCAACAAAATCAGGATCTGGCTACCTTCTATCCCGAGGTTGTGAGATAGGGTAACTAAAAGTCGCAGAATTATCATAGATTGAGGTTTCTATTAGATCACTACTAGTTATTCTGTTGAGAGTTTAGAACATGCCTTTTTCTTGGATTTGGGCTAAGAAGCTCAGGTTCAAAAAGATAATTGTATGTAAAAGATTGGCGGCTGGACACCTAGTATCGAGGCTGTATCGTATGGAAAGAGGTGTTATAGACTCAGATAAATTCATAGGTAGAGAGCCTTGACAACAAGGAGATCTAACAATATACTGTTAGGCAGAGACAACCTGTATAGACTCAGAGATGTCTAGGCCAATCAGGATTCATTTCTGTAAACAGAGATTTATCTAGAAAGCCTTAAAGGTTTTTCCTTTTATTTATTACTACTAAGAGTAAGGTAAGGTAGAATAGAATTGTGTAAATAATATCATATGTTAAGATCTCTTCTCCATTGCTTGATGTTTAGAAGCTTGGCAGG